TATAAGATATGCCCTTTTATCCAATAAAAAGAATAGATTAGAATAGAAATAACCTTTATTGTCCCTCAGTGGGGAATTTCTCATGTCCCAGCAGCAAAAGGCACTAATGGAAGCATATTTGCTGATGCACACTAAGGTAAAAATCATGAAAAAAAATTTAGAATGGCTTACAATGCAGCTTGGAATAATTTGCAACACAATAAATAAAACTTTGCACAGCTTTTAGTTATCGATGGAATAAGCAAAAAGTAATAGAAGTGTGCAAATGAGTAGCTTATTCTTATGTGCAAAACTTGTTCTATATATTTAATAAAACTAACCAATTTATTTACAGCTTTTATAAAAAATGTATTGAATGCATTAGGAGGAGTGATTGTTATAAAGTCTAACAGCTGGGAGGAAGGAGCTGTGATGGTGCTTTTTTGTGCATTTCAGTGTGTCACTGAAATAGCTCTCCAGCCATGCAATAGGTTATGGTATGGTATGGGAGATATCGACCTGACAGGGATGTTAATACTGCTAACATCAAACTGCAGTACAGATAGGGGCATGGTGGCCATCTGGATTTCCAAATAACTGGTCCTTTCTAAGGTTGAGCCAGCTGGCTGGTAGTTGGAATGTTTGGTTTTTAACCCCAGAAAGCGCAGCGTCACAGCTGCAGGTGGCACAGTGCACTAAACTAACAAACATTTTCCCTGGTAGAGGGGCCAACATTAGAGCGACTGGAATATACCAGGCCTGTGATTTAAACTGGACCATGCAGCATGGCTGCAGTAGGTTAGCGAGCACTACAGTTTTATACAGTGGCTTATAGAGAGTTTATGTTACATGTTCAGGAAACGCAGAAAAATCAAGGCAGTCCATCAGCGACGCTACAGCATACATGTATAAATAATTAATTAGCTGTATCAGTTAAAATTTAAAAGTATCTACATTGACTGACCAGATAAAAAGCTAGGTTATCTTATATTGCTTTTTGTGTTGTATTTGTGTTCTAACACTGAATTATTTGGACCTATAAAGTGTATCGTTGTTACTGGTATTTTATATTTGGGGTGATTAGGAGGAGAAGAGACCAGTAAGAAGGAACAGGAGACAGGAGGAGGAAATGGATATGAAAGCTAAAAGGGAGAAGAATGGGAAATAGGTGGAGATTGATGAGGAAGATGAGGGTAAGATGCAAGGAAGTGGAGCTAAAACCGTCAAAAAACAGCCTTACATGAAGGTGCAACATGGAGAAATTATTTGGCAATAAGTGTATTTATGAAATTCTGTATCACCTCATAAGAGCCAAGAGTTGTTGTCCATACCTTATTGATAGTTGTCTTTATTATATTTATTTTAATTATTCCATAATTATAACAAAAACAGCAAATTTTAAAGGAATTATCAAATAACTTTAATCTAACAATGTTTTCAAAAAGGGAGAAGGAAGAAGTTAATCTGTGTTAATCTGAAAACGGGCAATCATTGCTAGCTTATCTTTCATAGTGGATGCAGTGGCGCCTCTTGCTGGGTTGGATAAGGGATTTCCACAGCTGGCCACATTATGTGAGGCAGGCAGGGGTCAATAGGCACTGAGGGGTGGCGGAAAATTAATAGGCACCAAAAATATCTTATGGTTAATCTAGACTGATGAAAATAAACCAACAGGAAAATGAACACATACAACTTCTGTATTTTCATACTAAATCACAGATATATCGACAGCAGAGCTCCTCTGGCAAAGCATTCTAGGATATATCTGCTCGTCTAGTGACCATGGATGATCACTACTACTCACTACTAGGGTTGTCAAAAGTATCGATACTCAAAAAAGTATCGATACTGAGATGTTGTATCTGGATACAATACTCATTTTCAAAAGTATCGATACAGTGCTACCACCAGTGGCACCTAAACAGTCATTCACCTAAAGTGCAGAATAGAGGAAAATGCACTTTCAGAACACTGTGTGATTGAATAATTCTGTGCACTTTTCAGTTTCACATTTTTTTTGTAACAAGTGCATCTGCTGAGAATTATTTTTGTTTCTTAACCAGTTTGGCTAGTGTCATTGTTATGTGTGCAAAGCATAGTCAAGTAAGGAAAACTTAATTTTGATTTTGTAAGTTTTTTACCAAGCTTGCTTAATATTGTGCACAGCAAACAACCTCTAAATATTATTCTTATTGTTTATTGTATTTATTTATTGTATTTTTATTATTAATGAAATTTTCTAGTGAATTTTGGAGTCTTTGTTTTTATCCTTGTGGTATCGAAAATGATATCGAGTATCGAATATTTTCCTTAGTATCGGTATTGAGTTGAAAAGTTTAGTATCGTGACAACCCTACTCACTACCACTTTTTTTCATCCGCTAGACGTTCGGACACTCATCTAAAATGGCATAACCACTATATAGTGCCCTTTATATTTGATAGGGCAGGCATTCATACACAGCCGTGGTATAAATTATAAAGAGAAATAAGTTTTAATGTGGGTTTCTATAATGTAATGAAGATAAAGTTAAGCGCTTAATGTTAGAACTAAATTTGTTTGATTTATGCATACATGCCAACATTTTCATATTTTTTTGTTGACGTTATTAACACATTTTGACTTCAGTGTATGTTTTTATTACTGGTTTTGTTTGAGCAAAGACGCACTGCTGATAGTGCTAGATTAAAAACATCTCTCTGCCTTGCAATTTTCCAATCTTTTCTTATGTTTTGTCATACAATAACAATCTATTTTGAGCTTCATGTGATGGATTATGAACCATTATCTAATTTCCTGAAAAAATGTAAAGCTAAAAAAGTATGGCTGCCTGCATCAACACACCTGGCAGCACAAGGGGAGCAGGGTAATGCTGGAAAAGCTGAAGAAAGTCAAAGTTCACAGAGGGAGCAATTAGCCATGCAATCAAAATAGATTTTTTTTTTTTATTGAGGACTTGCTTGAAGAAAGCCATTGTTATGAGACACCTCAGAAATTGTATTATATGCAAATTTTACACATTAAGTTTGCCAAGCCAACCTTATTGATGATAAGCTATTGATGACCAGCCTTTAAAACATATCTGATTGAGGCGAGCGTCCCATTTAAGTCCTCATATTCAATAATTGCTTTGATGAAATTATCTTGTTTTATCAACTATGAAACATTCAGTTTGCGATTTGACAGATCCATTAACATAGAACATTGGGACTATTTATTTTGGTATAGGATTAGAAGAACGGGTAATGATCAGGTCACATTATTCTGTCTCTATAAAGCCATCGTCATTGTGACATTAAAAGGATCCCATTAACTGTAGCACCAGCCTCATTCATATTGTTGTCTACCCACAACCACAGCTAAAAATCAGCCGATTAGGACACATTAATCTGCACTCCTTTCAAATGGCAAATTTCTTCGATTCTTCTTTTGATTTTGGATAAATATAAACAACAAGCTGGTGAGAATTGAGTTCTCTTCACTTAAATTTTTTTAGTTAAACCGAATACTGCATTGTATAATGTAGTCATATATTTGTATTAATTTCATGCAACATATACAGTAAATGTTTTAGGATTTTGCTTGCATGAAATTTCAAAGGCAACTATTTTTTTTAATCATCTTAAAAACAGCTTGAAAAGAATTATAACATACACTGCAAAATGCATTAAGTTGACTTCATACAAATATGCACATTTCTTTAAAGAAATACACTTATGTAAACTTAAAAACATTTTGGTATATGCATGTTATACACATTAGCTTTGCACAGTTAATTTGATAATTTTGAGTAGACCTAATATTAATGAGAAACACATTTTTTGGAAAGTAGCCTTAGTTTATCTTCTTGCTATGCATATTTCCCTAATATACCGGTATTTAGATGTTGCTCATGTTATTCAATACCTTTTAGACAACGTATTACAACTCTGTTTTAGTGAAGTATTGAAATTAGTCTCATTAAGCCATTATCACAACATCATTACATCTTATAGATTTTAGTGTGCTGTATAATAATGAATGGATCTCATTAACTGCAACATCAACATTAATCATGGTATTGTCTGCCCTCATCCATGGCATAAAAAAATCAGCCAATCAGGAAGCACTGATTTGCACAAGTCTCCACCTCTTTCAAATATTGACATTTTATATGTGGACTGGACCTATATAATTTAAGTATCAAGATTTTTTTTTCAGTTCACAGCCCTCTTTTAGAGTAAGTATGAACAACAAATTAAAGAGAATTGAGTTTTGCTCGCTTAAAGTTTTTAATAAAGTTTTGTTTCACGTTGCAGCAGAGATCAACCAATACAGTATTTTAAAAGCTGCTATAGTTTATGTTTACGCGAGTCCTACCGATCCCTGATATGTACTGCCAACTTTTTTGCGGGACCTTTTTTAAAGCCAGTGTTACTTTCTCTTCCTCCATTTACACAATTAAAACATTACACAATGAAAAAAACTTTACAGCAGTTTCAATATAAATGAAAAAAGAAACATTTAACATAAAAGTCAAAGAAAGATTTGATAATATAATGCAAATGGTGGGAGCGCTAATCCATGCTCCTTATATGGATGCTGAACAGGCTAATGAATCAGCCAATGCATGCATTCATTGGCCAACACTGATAAAAGAGAAAAAATTCTAATATCAGCAAAAAATATTAGCCAACCAATATATCACTCTCTCTCTACAGTATAAAGCAAAAAATCTTACAGATTAGTTTAGACATATGATGTCACCGTCACAAGTAGGGCCGAACTATTAATTGCATTTGCAATATGACCACAGTTAAAAAAAAAACTAGTTACAAATCCCACAGAAACTGCATTTTTTGCTCATGTTAACCAGAATAATATGCTTACTTTCTCCCTCTACTCCTTTAGATGGCAATAAAACACTTTAATTGGGTTTGCTGCTACACAAAAGGGAAGAGAAGATTGTAGCTAGCAGCAGATTCCTGAGTACCGTACAAGCTAGAACTATGCACTTTTCCACACAACAGTTAACCCTCTATGGCATGAATTTTTATTTTATGAGGAAAAAAATATTTCACCCTAGTTTTGGGAGCTTGAGGGGGTCTTTATAAAATATCAATCAGAAAATGTGCTCCACCCTGCCCCCCCCACCAGATTTTGGTTTGTTGTCTCAGGGCAACAATATGCTATAAGGGTACTAAAACGCCAAGGTTTTCTTTAAGTGGAATGATGAACAAACAAGCAATAAATACATTAGAAGAAGTTTTATTTCAAGTTTTATTTCAATTTCAACAAGTTTCCTTTCAACAAACGGCCACAAATGGTTTATTAATTAGTGCATTAGAGATTAGCTGCAGTGTGTTTATGTTTCTAAATACATGTTCCTGTGGGGTACTGAATGGCTCTGTGTTTCTCTTTTTTACAAAGTACAGTTTGTATTATTCTGTATGGAACCTCATGAAGCAGTTGCTGGTGGATGTGAAACAAAGGTGGGCGTCACATTTTTGGCACTTGGCTTTAGGTGTACCTGTGCATCTTGGTACCTTGCATCTCCCTTTCTTTTCATCCATGACCATCCAGTGGGCTGTGGCATCCAGACGCACATCAGGGACTGGGATAGGTGTAGTGGGTCCTCTTCTCCTCTTCTCTTCGTACTCCCCAGCAATTGTGGAACTGGGACGACCTCTCTTGCGCTCCAGATTCTTGCCACTTTTGCACAAGCTTTCTGCAATATACGACTTGAATGTATAAAGCCTCATCTGTTCCTGTTTTCTCATCCCAGTGCTGCTGCAGTCTCTCTTGTAGAGCAGCCAGGCAGTCACGATGGTCATGTCGATAAAGTGGAACATCAGCCGATGGTACCACTTTTTCGACCTGATTTTGTTGCGGTACAGTGCAATGAGGGAGTCCAGCAGATCCACTCCACCCATATTTTTATTGTACTCTCTCACCACAGCAGGACAGGGAACTTTGATGATTTTTTTCTGCTTGGCATCCCACCTATCAACGTCGGTGACTGGGTGTGCTCCAATGTAATTGCTGAGAAGACTGACTGAACGGTTATCATACCATTTCAAGGCATGCAAGGTGGTTTCGCCAACCGTGGCCATCTTCTGTTCAAAAGATCCACGCCCAGTTCTCTTCAACTCAGTATCACACATCAAGTTGACACCTGGTAGTCTGTTGCTACGAACAGTACCAGTACAGTGAATTCCCTGCTGAGCAAGTGTGAGAATGAGAGGGACACTCGTGAACCAGTTGTCAAAGAACACCTTGTAGTTCTGCTGTCTGGGTATTGGCTGGGCCAGACGGAGGACAACATTGCCACTTGCTCCTACATCTGGCAGCTCAGGTGGTTGCACAACTCTCCCTGTGTAAATCTCAAAATTGTGCGGGACACCATCAGAGCCAGCCAAGATGAATATCTTGTAGCCCCATTTCTTTGGCTTAGCTGGCAGGTATTGCTTGAGTGTATTTCTTCCCTTGAATGGGACCATCTGCTCGTCTACAGCCAACTTCTCACTCATTGGTATTGTCTGCAGCTTTGAGGTAAGATGAGTGACCAGTGGTCGGATTTTGTGGAGTGGATCAATATTTTCTTGTTGTCTCACCTCATTGTTGTTGAAGTGCAGGGATTTTTTAATGAACTCCCATCTGTTTAGTCCCATGGTGTCAGCTACCTGGGACACTCGGGTGGCTTTGTTCCAAAACATGCGGGTGCCTGGTAATCCAAACAATGACATGTATACTGCTGTACCCATAAATTGTTCCAGTTCTTTTTTAGCGAGGTTAAGGGGCTTGTTGGTGTCACACTGAATGGCATATAAATTTGACTGCTCTACAACTAGTTCCAGAATGTCTTCAGAAAAAAACATCTTGAAGTATTTGTAGGGGGAATTGATATGATCTGATTTTGGAAGACTGGCCTGCCATTCTGGGTAGTCAGTGATATTGGCACTGTGGGGTGTTCTCCAACGGGGTAAGCGTGGAACAGCTTCCTGTAATACTTCATCATCTTCATTTTCCTCTTCATCCACAGACTCATTGTCATCAGGCAGGTCATCTGTTTTCAAAAGAAACCAGTAAGCATAAAATTAGAATAGGTCATATATACCTCTCTTTACTCACTGATGTACAAACGCACATACATGCTCATTCCATACAGTATGTTACTCTACTGACTGAACCATGATCTCCCAACTCTCCCTCAAACCTGATTTTGGAGTCCACTCTTCCTCACTGTCACTCTCCTCAAGCTCACTGTCCTCACTGTCAGAAGGAATGAGCCTAACCACTTGATCATGTTCCTTACGCCCATAAAATCTTTGTGCATCCATTTTCTGTGATTAATAGTAGATAGTACAGAAAAAATTTTATTATGTTGATAACTACACATACCTACACATCTCCATCCATGAGCATGTTATAGTTCACACAAAAGTGGTCTAACTGCACAATGTTGCCCTGAGGCAACGAATGAAAAACTGCCATTTTAGTATATAAATGAAGACAAAAGGTGTCTTTACTCAATCAAATATGCTTTTTTACTTATTCATGCACATCACAGATATTATTTATACAAAATTATTTAAATTTAAACATGTAAAAAAGTTAAATTTATCTTACCTTCTGCTAGGGGTGTGTCCAAGTCTGCTGCGGTCCAAAAAAGGATTGTTTCACTCCAAGACAAAGGTCAAAGCCACGCCTAGCTCAAATTTCATTGGTCACAGACATATCATCAGACTTTTAATGTGATGTTTTACTTAAAAAAATTTAAAGGGGCGGTGTGTGGGCCAAAATAGTGGTTTGTTGCCTGAGGGCAACAGAATGCCATAGAGGGTTAAGTATCACATCAGAGGAGCATTCAGGTCACAACAGTAATTGAATCCTCGGGACAAGCATGTAGCTGCCTGCAGTGGAAACATGTAAATAAAATCTCAATCACTCTTTTAGTGCAAAAAAAAATGCTATTTTTGTTTTTGGCAAAAGTGCAAAGCCCTGGTTCTTTGTTGTGCAATATGTTTTGTTGTTTTTGGATGAAGAGCTGGGGAAATCTTGCTTCACCTAGAAATTACTCAAAGTGCTTGGTGACTACCATAAAATCGCATCATTGTCAGTATCGTCATGTGATTCATTTTGTCACACGATTTACCCCAAATTGCACAACACAAATGGCTGTCTGAGACTATATTAGTTTCATAAAAAATAAATACATTTTAAATGACTCAAGCTATCTGTGTATACTAAATGTTTTAAAGTCTGGAAGAATAATAAAAGAAAAAATACGATCCACATGGCACACATCATCTGGGAAACATAGTGGTGGAGGCGGTGGGGAAATGTGCAGCAAGCAACTTGATTGGATCACATCTATTTATTTATAACTTCATTTAGCACGGCTTGTGTGGACTCAGTGGACTCCTGGAAATGATTTCTGATGGGTCGAGAGGGAAATATGAAACGCTGGAAATGGCAGTGTCATGCTGTGGGATTTGTGTGGGAAAGTGCGTTAGAGTTTATCGACTTATGTCATATTTTAATAAGTTGTAGGCCAGTGAATGTTTATTCATGGCATTTTAAGTTAGAAGTAGTTTTTTTATATCTTGATGCCATTCATACATGAGGCACGATGGCAAATGAAACCCTGTATCAAAATGAATACAGAGGAGAGTCAGCATGAATCTTCAAGACTTTACTTTCTGCAGATTATCAAAACAGGAAAGATATTATTTGCCTAGACTGTTTTTTTTCTTTGTTCTTTCTTCCTTCTGTCTATTATCCAACTTTTTAGGTTATCTGAGTGAAGAAATGTCAAAGAGAAGCCATGGGTTTAAGAAAAGAATGGACCATTGTTTGGATTATCTGGCTGTGTGCGCTTGTGTGTGGGATTTTGTAGTTGGGCAGATTGGAGCATTACTCATGCATCCCGAGGCTGCTGCTCAAAAAGCAGGGTTTGGAGCATCACAGTGGGTGCCTGCTCCACTCTGCCACATTGCATGTATGTGCAAGCATGCGTGTGATTTGTGTGTCAGTGAATTACATAAAAATGCAGGTTTGTGGCGAGTAGAGAAGATAGGAAGCGGGACGATTTTAAGGTAGGAAAGCTGAAAACAAATGCTACCTTAAATCAGTGGAAATGCAGGGATCCAATCTGACTATACAGATGATGTCTGTGTGTCTCTTGTTGTGGGACACCCACATGCCCCAGGACAGTTGGCTGTTTTTCTTTTTAGAGGCACGAGTGAAATTAAATATTAGGTTTTAAACATGTGCAAAGAAAGCTTAAGAAATGATCAAAATGAAATTTGTAAAGCACACAGGAATACATATTTGAATGTATCTATGTGAGAGAATGAAGTGAGGTTAGATTCTCATCTTTCTCTTTTCTTTTTTTTACTAAAATCAGTGGAAATCGGCCTTGGCCTGTAACTTAGCAACCCAAATGGTGTGTGTGTGTGTCTTGAATTAATTTGACTTCACTTCTGCTATGTCCTCCTCAGGGGTGTGTCAGATCACCTAACTTACTAAATCATAACAACCTTGCAGCCACCCCACACGTGTTTGGAAACACATGCTCACAGGCTGTTAGACACAGATGAATGGTTCGGTACAGAGGGGATTTACTCCTAACCCACTAACCTTTGATCTCTTGTGTTTAGTTTTATCACAATGATCACAGTTTGGCACTTGTGAACTGCTTTTTAAACTAATCTGAAAAGTGCATTGAATGTGTTTAAGAGTGAAGGCATCCTTCATCTGTGATGTCCTTGTGGTCCGTGGGTTGAGCGATGCTCGGTGAGGGTGCTTTGCACATGTTGATAAAGTGAAACCTCATGTCTCAACGGTCGGACTGATTTACCGCTGCCAAACTCCTCGTTTTCTCAATCTAATTTTGCTCCAGTCCAACCAAACACCCTTTGGACACGTCGAACTTTTCTTTATTGCTAAAATTTCACATAAAAACCATAAGTAAAGGATAAAACGACAACATAATACATTCTTGTAGCCCTGTTTGCCTCTCATTTTGACAAAAGTGATGCCAAATTCAAATAACTGAGCGACAAAAGGGGAAACATTTAATTTTAGCATTCTAATTTTTGAGGATTTTTCTTTCTTAAAATGTCTCAGTGAGCATTGCAGACATTAATTGCACATAAATTCATTGCAGTTAGCTGTTTTATGAAATAAGTGCCTTTCTTTCCTCCCCTTTCAACGAACACTGTTCCAAGAAATTAGATTCACCATATTCCCTGTTTAAAACACAGCCATGTCAACTAAAATCATAAATCCAACTTAGAAAGTTTCTTATTTTAAAATTCAATCCGACTACTTTGCCTTCAGAAGCTGTGTAAACAGTCCCCCCCTAAATATACTTGCCACCGAGTAAATAGTTGACTTACTGTATGAAAGTTTATTGTCATACAGTTCTTTATTGTAAACGAATGCTGGGATGATCTCATTCCTTCAGCCTCCTCATAAAGATCAGTAAGGCATATAAAAATAACAAAATAGGCTTAAATTTCGTAGGGAGCATAAAGATAAACATATAGAGCAATAGAAAGGGGTCTTAGGTTGTGATGAATCCAGGTGTACCCTGTTCCAAATTGAGGGTCACATCAGGGTAGAAAGAGAAGTGCATTAAGTAATGGGCTTGTTGTGTAATGCTTTCAGTACAAGTCAGTTAGGGCAGTTCTATGATCTGGAAATGCTGCAGTTGGTCAGGTCTAGGTTCATCAGCTTTATATACTAAAAGTATATATTTATGCATATTCAATATATACCCAAATAAGCTGGACAACCAATCTATCAGTAAATTTCAACCTCCCTGATGGCACAGGCCGAGTCTAAGAAGATGATGGGTAAATTGGGCAATCTTTATTGGAGGATTATTTTCAGACATAATCAGGTCGCCATAGAGTTCACGTCTCATCTTTAGGATGTGCTGGAAAAATAATCTATGCAGTTTTCTGACTCCTGTTCTTCTACACTAGTATAATGAAAAATTATTGCAGCTCTTGATTGAAATGAATGCTGTGACATTGCAGAAACCTGTTGAAATGGATCCACATCAAACTGTAACTAAGGACTCTGTCACACCTTGCTTTAGCCAGCGTATGCCCAATGTCCCAGAATCTCCTAAAATGCTGGCATATGCTTAGCTTTCTATGTATTTTTTCAGGTTTAGGCGTATAATAGCATATTCATGACAAGTCCAGAACTTATGTCCAAAGACAGCCTAACCTATGCATAAACACATGTCAGATACATTGATATGCCTTGATAAGTTATGCACAAGTTACTCATAGATTTTGGATAAGCTTGACACCACATTTTATGACTTCCACTTCCACTTAATGTATGTCAACGGTCAAATAACTTACCTGTTACTTATTCCCCACGTATGAGAATACGCTGACATACGTCCAGAAATTTTGAGCATGCTAAAAATTTCTTGACATACGTATGTCGACGTGTGCCAGCGTGCTTCAGCGTACTTTAGAATGCTCATAATTTATACAAAATCTTATCCAACATATATATTTTTGCCAGGTTTACCGTACTTCAGGCAAGAAAAGCATCACTTGTCTGGAAAAAACCTTACTTTCTTTTCTTTTTTATTTTTGTGTCCTTGATGCATGTAGATGAAACTTTATTGAAAATTATTTGGGGAGTAAAGTCGTTTACAATGGATACAGAGATGGAAAGAGAGGAAATAAGGAAAGAGTAGATAAGACCTAAAGGAGAGAGAGATGGACAGTTTTTAAAACTTTTTTAAGTTTTTAAAATTTAAAAAACCATACCTTGTTTGACTAGAGCTTTCTTTTGAATTTTCAATTTAAAAAGTTAAATGAAACATCAGTTCAGGTTAGGTCTCCAAATATTCTTTATCTGCCTCCAGCATGCCACTGGAATGTGCTTTTGCGAAATGTACCGTTTTCTGTGTTCGGTTCATGTGCAGTACTTTGAATTGTCTTGTTACTGAAATGTCCTTTACAAATAAGCATGCCTTGCCTTGCCTTGTGGGATTTTGAAATATGTTGTTTGCTCAGATGTTTATCTGTAAATACAGCACTAGGTTTAGAAGTCTGTGAGCTGTCCTTAATAACTGCACATCGCTTTCTTTTCCTGAGATGTTTTTTTTTCCTTTGTTGTACAAGCTATTCTTATTTTAGTTTTAAAAATGTGTTTTGCTTTCTTTGTTTAAAAAAAAAACTTCTGTGTTATATAGACCTCTATTCTGCCTGAGTGGTTCATAGGTCCAAGTAAAGTTGATTTAAAAAAAAAAGTGAAAAATGATTGTGTCTGAGGTCTAATATAACATTTTGAACATTGAAACATCTAGAAAGCCTCCTTTCCAAAAAAGCCTCCCCCTCAGAAGCAATAAATAAACAAGTGATGTCAACCTTTGTGCAGTTATACTCTTATTCGCCCACAGATCAATTAGTATTCCAATCTGTAGTACTCCATGTTGTCACCCACATTTGGATGGGTTTCGTATTACTCTACATGCTACATCGGTGCAGATAAGATGAAGACTGAAATCAGTTGTTATTGTGTGTGTTTGTGTGTATGCAGGAATGGGAGAAACTGTGTTTTGATGATAATATTTCTATGTATTATCCAGGTAATAGAAAAAGCACGGGTACCAGCTGTCTCTCATAACATGCCTCATTATTCCTGATAATTTCTGGATGATAGCTTCAAGTTTGCATGACGCTTCTTTCTTAATGGAGTCTGGGAAAATATGCAAAATAGTGGGGGGAGGGAGATTAGCACCATGATAATTCAAGTAACAGATGATGTGAAATAAAGGAGGGTAGTTCTGCTTTTGTTCTATGCTTAA